GCAATCAAGATCGACAGCTAAGGCAACTTCATTTGCCCGACAATTTACATAGTTTTTAATACATTGTCTACAGCATGTATAATAATCTTCAGAGTTAGTTTTAGGACAACTCAGAAATGCAGCATTAATCCTGCTCATAATAATTGAGAAAAGGAGCAAAGTGCTAATAACATTTAGTTTCATATTGACAGTTTCCTTAAGAAAGGTTTGTACCTATCGTAAATGGTAGCAATTTTGATAGCATTATTTGTCCTTTATATACTGTATACCCAAGAAAAATAATGACGGTAACAGAAAAAAAAAAATTTTCACGTACTTGACTGCAGTTGGTTTTTTTTGCGACACTATAGAGCTGCGACCCGTCAGAATTTTAATATCCGGGTCATACCCAAATTAAAAAAAAGGTTACCCGATTCCTTAACGGGTATTACCCGTTTTTTACCCTTTTACATAAGAATATATGGGTAGATCCGGATACAAGTGATATTTTATATGAAACATGTGGGTCAAAAAAATTAAGCAGTTTGTTAAAATCAGATTTTTTTACACAGATATTAGGTTGTATATCTTCTAAAATATAACTAAAATTTCCTGATGATAGCGTGATTGTACTTTGTGCAGCAGCCGAACTAAACTACATTACTATTCGTTTTTTTTTGAGATTTGTTATTGCGAACCATAATCAAATATAAAAACTATTTTTTTAAAATAAATATTAGATCATTATTTGTCACATTTATGAAGTTATGAAGATTAATTTATTTGTTTATAACTTTAATAATCAATTACCCGTGTCAATATCCGATCCGGATTATTATAAAACGGATACAAAACGGGATATTACCCGTTTTTATTTTACAACCCGGATATTCATGAATATCCGGGTAGATCCGAGTTGTATCCGAGTAAACGGGTAACGGGTCGCAGCTCTAACAATGAAAACCTATTTTTACAATTTGAAATAATCGTGGAAGGATCAATTTGATTAATGCAAATTTGTGATATTTATCGAAATAATAAATTATACTGTATAGATTTAATACAATACAAATAATCATGCTATATGAAAGTAGCACTACGCCTGACGACCTCGGAATTGCAATGTCCTCAGCCCTTCATAGGAAAGCCCTGCACCACAAATAAACATTATTTTCGGGGAAAATTAGAGGTTTTTGTTGGTGAGAAAATATTCGTTTCCGGTTGATGACGGACTAAGTATGTCACAAGATGATCTATAGGCAAAACTTCGCTAGTCACTGGAATGTTCTCTTTGCTTTTAGTTTTAAGCCATAACTAAATATGTAATATAAAGTTTAAACTTCTTAAATACTCCTTTATTGACGATTCTCCAAGTGTAGGGGGAGGAATTTTAGAATTTACAAGCCGTTTTAAAAGCACAGTATCGGTCGGAATCCATGATTAATGATCCTATGGGAAATGATTTCGGCAAAGATTATCCGGTTGATGATCGCCACGGGTTGGATCGAGGAAAAATCGGACTTGATTTCGAATGGATCGCAAAATTGTCATCTCTGTTTAGTAACTAGGTAAGTGGAACGTCCGAAGCGTCTCACAATTCACAAATAATGACTTTGTAACGTTAAAATAAAACATTAAATTAAAATGTATCACATAAATTAAGATGTATCACTAAATTAAAAAAAGTAATATAAATTAAGTTCTTGCCTTTATTAGATTAGTCAATGTATAGGGGAGGGCCAGAAATGACGTCATCTAATAATGGAGGGGGGGCTACTACAAGATGACGTGACACAAAATCAATTTTCCATTTTAGGATTTTTGGGGGGGTCCTGCAACAAGATGACGTGACACAAATTAAATATTCCATTTTAAGTTAATTAAGTGATAATTTCGAAATTTAGTGTTACAATATCAATAATATTAATGTAAATGCATGTGTTCTATTGATAAGAAAGATAAGAAAGGAATTTTTTTTTTAAACGGGAATTTTTTTTTTTCTTAAAAAAAAAACTGAAAAATGTAAAAATTTACGCGAACAATAATTACGCAGTTGCTCTTTTTTTCTTTTGTTGGATTGATATTTTATAATGAAACAAACATACTTTAGGTAACCAAAATACTCCAAAAATTATATTATCCAAAAACCAAGAAATCTTTATAAGGAGTTTGTGAATGCTTTTGCATTCCAAGAAATAGTAATTACCAATAATGAAAGATCAAGTAAAATAGAACTTCAGGAACAAGTCCAAAATAGCTGACGAGAAATAAAAATGAAAGATAAAGACTTTATCCAAAATCAAATTTTCGAATTATTATAAATACCTATTCCTTCTCCCTTAAATTTTTTTCCACAATAAAAGTCTGCAAAAAATCCTCCAAAGCCACTTTCAGAATCTTCAGAACCTGAACTGAACCTCTAGAACCTCTTCCTATGCCCATTTTTTCACAAAATACAACGGTATAAAAACAGTTGCATGAAAATCTTCAAAAAAAACAAAGCTGATTTATATGAATATAACAACCTACTGAGAGCTGCCACATCATCAGAACTTCGTTCGCAATTCACCTCAAAAATTAAAAAGCTTGAGAATACAGTTGTATAAGAAGAAAAGAAGCTCAAGAGACTAAAGGGTAACGCAGAAGCTCGACAATAAGCTCAAAATAAAAAATAAGAAAAATTAGAAAAAGAAAATATTGTCAAAATTTACGATACACTGGGTTATCCATCATTTTTGTTGAATAATCCTGAACTTTTAAATAAAATGCATGACAGTATCGAGTTTGGCGCTGCAGACCACAAAAGGTAAAAGGAAACAATTAAAGTACAGACCATTAAACATCTTCGTAAGAAAATGGAAGAGAATTACAATATCTATATGGCGAAGTTCACATTGCAAAACTATATACAACCCAGACATCCAGCAACAAAAGAGGCCCAAAGACATCATCATTTTGCATAAATCTGTTTAGCAGCTGTTGGAAGAAATGAAATGAATAGTCATATAGATGAGTATTACTGCTTAACTTCGGTCAAAAGTATAAAATCATTCACATCAGCTTTTCCTAGGGATGTTATATTAATTTCATAAGACGATAAAGCAAAGGTACTTATTTGCAACCTTTTTTTAATATTATATTTCAAATGTTTAATTCTCAAAGTTCTGTAGATTCCTATTGGTGTAGTTGCAGTCAGAAAAACATTTAAGGCTGTTCAAACAGCAAGTGAACCAGTATCTGTCCCTGATCATGATTTTCCTAAAGCTTCAAAGTATAAGCTAATTTCATCTGTCTACCTAATGATCGATCCTTCTAATACAACTTTATTACGCTCTGAAAAGATGCGAATTTTTGTCAATCCAGAGTATTTTTTGGATATAAACTGTGAAACACATATGGTTGATCTTATGTCAATCACAAAGGAAGAGACTTTTAATGAATTTATGTATTATGAAAGTTCTGTGAAACCTTTTTGGTATTTGTTAACAGATGGTAGTCCAGATGAAAATTCACGATTTCTTGCCAGTATTTCAAAATATTTATTGCTTTTCAAAAAACTTGACCTAGATTATTTTACTGTTCGAACACACGCATCAGGGCAGTCTGCTTTATAATCCAGTGAAGCAAAGCATAGCATCACTTTCTAGTAAATTGGCTGGTATTGAACTAAATGCATTTACATTTGGGAAACATCTTGAAAGTGTTAGTGAAAAAGTTGCTGTTGTGAATAAAGATCTTAGACATCGTAACTTTAAACATACAGGAAAGTGTTTATGTGAACTTTGGGGGCGTAACAATATCAATGGTCATCCAGTTATTACCACATATATTAAGAAGCATGATCAATTGGATTTTTTAAATATAAACAAAGAATTATGAGATTGGATCGATAGATATAGCCAAATTTGCAAGTATTCTTTTGACTTAAGAAAGTGTGAGGATTGAAATTGCTGCAGATAACCACATGCATCCAAAATTTATAATCTTTTGTCCAGAAACAATGGTTTTTTACCACTTGTCATACAAAACCTTGATGGTCATTTTCTAAATCTAATTCATACTTTGTAATATTTTGAAAAGAAGTTATCAGGCTATGATGAACATTGTCCTAGCATAACTTCAGATTTATATCACAATCTTGTATGTCAAAAATGCTTTAAATATTTTTTATCAAAAGTGTTTTTGCAGCAGCATACTAAAACAACTCATCCAAAAGAAAAATCGAAAGTAAGAATTAATGATAAAAAATCCGAAAATTTATCACAAAATGATGAATGTAGTGGTCATATGAAGGATATATATACGAAGAAAAATGAAAATGACAATTCACAAAATCAACAGGAAAAGGCAGCAAAGAAAAGTAAAAGCAAAGCAAAGAGTTTACAACAGCAAAATTCAATAGCAAAACCATGGAAACAAAGTCATCTTACATTTGATATTAATGATTTTTAATTGTAATATTTTAATGTTCATTTCTGATTTCTTATTAATTGATAAACATTTGGTATTTAACATAACTTATTGAATTTTATTTTATTTTTTATTATAAAATTAAACTTCTTGTTATTACAAAATATTCGCGAACTATAAAATATTATAATTTTAGAAAAAATCTTATAGTAGAAACAGTGTAAGGGATATATTTATAGACCATTATGAAAATTCATCTAAGAAATTTTGTAATTCTATTTTTTCAAGCTTATTCAATCTGTAAATAAATTCTTGAATTTCAACTCCACATATTTTTTGAGTTTCTGTTGAAAAAATACATCCAACAGCATATAAGGACTTGTCATGAAATTCCGTATGGCAAGCATAATATTTATTTTTAAATATTTGTTCTATTGCTTCTTGTACTAAGTTTCTGATTACTTGATCATTTGATGTTTTTAGTGAAATGTAGCATTTGTATTCAAGATAGTAAATAGACATATTTATCATTATCCACTTATCAGTTCTGTCTTGACTTATAGTATTTTCACTCTGAAATGGCAATTCAATATAACGCACTAATATATAGATATGCAAATAGTAATAACTCTCATAATTTCCTGCATGTTGACTTTTATTATATGGGATAGATGCTAAATCATTATTAAATGCTCTCATAAATTTAATAAATTTATCATTTTTAAGAAGTCTTATTAGTTTGTAAATTCGTTTACATGCAGTTTTTATTGAAGTGTCATATAAATAAGCCTAGAATTCGCTAATCAGAGACTTTCTCACTTTAGCATTTGGAATTTTAAGAACTAAACACTGTTCGTCATCATCATCTATTTTCTATTGTTTGATAGTTAAATAGCCAGTTTGGAATATTAATGAAGCAGGAAGGTCAGATGATTTTTGTATATTATCCATATCAACAGATACAACTAATCTCTTCTTTATCATAATTTGATTTACGATATTTTTGACATGTTCCATACTAATCAATCTAGCAAAAAATTTGGTTTTCCCTTTTTGAATCCAAAAGTTTTTATATTCAAAATTCTTAAAAAAACTAGAAATGCTATATGGGTTATATACTTTAATATTGCCATTCTAAGAATAACTATTGTATTTTTTCTGAAGTTTATTCATAACATCTTGCATATCATTATAGCGATCTGATTTGCAGAGATTTAATAGATTGTTTCCAAACACTTTTGTTATCTCATCGCTTGTAAAACCATATGCTTCAGATAATTTATTATTTAATGTTACGTTTTTAAGATTATTTAATTCTAAAAATAAATCTAAATATATAAACATTATTACACCTATAATGAGAAGAAATTTAACTTTACTTTGCAGTGTCTTAATTATTTCAAAAAACTCTTTAGTATGCTGTGACTGTAGTTTGCAATTTTTATGCTTTCTTTCATGATACTAATAACATTTAATAGTGGTAGATCATATTTGTCTATGAGAATTCCCTATAAAAATTTGCATACGTTTTTTCATTATTATAAATAAGTTTTGTATACGTTTTTTGAAATTCCGTAACACATTTCCTTATATTTTATAAGGAATTTTTTTTTAGCATTTTTTTTATAAA